CTGATCGATGCAAGTCTCAACTTGACTTCTCGGGATATAACCCAAACACTCTATCACTTCACCTTACCTCTCTTTTTAATCCTTTGTAAGCTTATATTTTTGATCCTCTACAGGCATAAATCTACACTTCTTGAAGAGAAAGTGGCTTAGCTCCTTTTCGAGCACAATAGTGGCCTCTTCGATCCTAGCCATTACTCGCAAGTCGTCGCTCAAAGCATCGAGCTCAACTCGGCCTAGTCATCATGCCAACACCAATAAGCCGAAGAAGAAGCAAAAGATCATTATGAGAAAGGTGCCCCACCCCTGAAAGGATGAGAAACTTGAGAAGCCAATTCTAGAGAGGGAATCAAATGAAGTGCCTCCTACCTCCACAACGTTGATGCCTTCAGAGGGTCCCTAAAGTTCTAGATCTTATTCGGGGAAAAGAGAGGAGAGATAAAGGTCGATATTTGACTTATGTAAAGGCAAACCCCTGCTCTTTATCACTTTACAAATAGCCGACCTGTCACACCCGAGTCTGGGTGCATCGTTATAATCAAGATAAGAGGATTTGTAGGAGGGGCAAAAAATGTGGGGCGATGTTACAGCTTTGAAACAGTACTATAGAGTTTCCTTACATTCGATGGTGGCGAAATAGATTTATCATTTCCCATCGAATGTTTTGATCGATACCTACTACTACAATGAAGTGCTAGTAAGTTAAGTCATGGCTAGCCTCTTTAGTATTGCATCGCTCTTCTACTTGTCTTTGATTTTGATTTATAGCACCACTATTACATAACAACCCTTATTGATTATGTACGGGATGCTGACTTAGTCATTCACTAATAGTCCCTTATAATTGATGATCTTCAAGAAGAGATCAAAGGGTTGAAGGAGGGAAGAGCCCCCTTAGTTGTTGTCAAGGAGGAGGCATAGGGGGCCGAGCAACGCCTCGCCGACTTCGCCAAGTAGTTGAAGGCAGTCCGGAGCAATAAATGGGACATGGAGGATGAGTTACCGAAACTCAATCAAGAGCTGGATTCGAAGAGGATATGCAACTTAGAGTTTACTAAGTAAGTTATGGCGGCCAACGAGCAAGTCGTGATAGCCAATGAGCAAGTTATGAGTACCACCGAGTAGGTTCAGAGTTTAAAGGAAGTGTTGGAGGTTGAGCGGAACATGATGTTAAAGTATCAAGCGAAGGCAATCATCGATTATAAGACGTCCACCAGGTTTAGGAGGGTCTAGAGAGGTTAAAGGTTATCTTATATTAGTTTGGATGCCAAATCACTATAGCCTGTTTCAAAATGAGGTACCCTAGGCTGGAGCTTAAGGAAGATCCGTTCACTGATTACCCTGAGGATTAAAATGTCCCGATGGTGCCCGAGGTATCTTTTGATGATAGTTTGGACTCACCACCTCATCATGATGCCTAAGTTGTCATTTCCCTTTATACTATATTTTTTGAGTCATCGAGTTACTCTACTTGACTGGTTCATTGTATCGGGTGTGTTCGCCCTATCATTTTTCTATTTTGATAGGTAAAGGTTTTATTTTAGATATAGAGGTATAGCTGAGTCGATGTAATTCCTTTTAAAGTACTAAAGTTTTTTTTTTTCAATTCGCAACACTGGCATATGGAGGATACACTTTATAATTGACCCTATGAGCATGGTAGAATGCTCAAATCTTGGGGCGTAGTCTCCTTATCTTGATCCCGAGAGATATCTTAAAGGTAAAAAAATTTGAAGTTTGTAATTTGCCACATCCTGAGTAGTGCCACTCCTTATATTGTCCCAAGGCAACATGTTTTGTCTCGAACAACCTCGATGACTTAATACGACCCTTTCCAATTCGGTGCCAACTTCTCCCGGGACCTAGTGGGGTTGTTAACTTCTACTTTACAAAACACTAGGTCCCTTAGTCTAACTCCTCGAGGGTAAACACATTGATCATACAACTTGGCCATCATCTTTTTATATCTCAATGCTCTTAGTTGTGCTTTTGCTCTGATCTCATTAATTATGTCAAATCTGGCTTGAAGTTCTTTTTTAGATGTTTCCTCATCAGAGCTCTGGTGTTGGAAAGACTATCTTGGGTAATAAGACAGCCTTGATGCCAAGAGCTAAGCTGAATGATAATTTTTCTGACCCAGTCTTATGTTTCATCCGAGAGGCCCATAAGATGTTGGTAGGTTATCCACCTAAGAACCCTTTGCTCCAATGACCCATTTCTTTAACCTCTCGAGAATGACTCGGTTGGTGACTTTAGAAAGACCTTTAGTCCGAGGATAGGCCACCAAGCTTATTTGAGTTGAATTATGTAAGATTGATTGAACTCTTTGAACCTCACATTGTTGAATTGAGTCCTATTGTCAATGATGAGGGCTCTCGGGATTCCAAAGTAGATTATAATATTGTTCCATACAAATCCTTTAACCTGCTTCTCGATGAGTGATGCTAGTGGCTCAGCTTCCACTAATTTCATAAAAGTCTCTCCTATGATAAGAAACCTTCGTTAGCCCGAGGCTGGTAGAAAGGGTTCGAGGAGGTCTATACCCCATTATGTAAAGGGCCATCTGTAGTCGATCATGTTCAAAGGGACTATTGGTTGATGTTATATTCGAGTAAGCCTCTAGCACCTGTGACATCTTTAGGCATAACCTATTGCATTCTTGCGCAACATCAACCAGTAGAACCCCTATCGAAATACTTTGAAGACAAGGGTCCGTCCACTAATGTGCTCCCCACAAATACTATCATGCATTTCGACGAGCACCCTCTAGGCCTATTAGGGTGTCAGCACTACGTCAGGTGAGGGAACCTCGATAGGTGTTAGTGCTAGCGACGATTAAACTATTGATCGCGAATGAGTTGGTGGTGTCACTTATTGGGTTAGTTAGGGCAAAAGTTAGGCAACGACTTGTATTATGCTCGTTAGCGTCTGCACTTATAGGGTGAGCTTCAAGAAAACCTCAGTAAGAATGAGTAGGTGGCTCGGGATCATCCTCGGGAATGAGAGGCCTGGGTTATTAAATATGTGCCAATACTGTATCAGTGTTTGTATAGAAGTAGATACATTCATATGCATAAAGGATCGCAATTGTCACCCTTGAATGAAAGTACTATGAGTCAGGTGTAGACTTTTGTCCAAGGCGTGCAGGCGGATAGTGCGAGCGGGGATAGATGATGATATGAAACTTTTTCTCTCACCGAGGGCTCTATGTGGTGATTAAGTATTGGATGATGATTAGTGTTATATCCTATTATAATCTAAAAAAAAAAAAAGGGAAGATGACGAAGGTTTTGCTAACACGATTAAAGAGCAGTGGTTGATATCTTGACAAGGCATTCGACAACGCCTTGAAGTATTGCTCCAGTGACTTAGAACCTTCACTCTTACGTCAAATTGTCTATGGGAGTTCCTATTTTGATTATGACTGAGGAGGTTTTACTCCTGATTTAGATTGTCTGATTTGCAATAATACGAACGGAGAAGAATATAAGCTAAGTTTTCATTTATAGACTTTTACGTTTTTTTGGCAAAAAAAGGATGAACTTTAGTATTGCAATATTGAAGATACTACCCCCACGATACAAGAGAACACAATCGTAAACAGGGCTTAGATGCTATAACCTTTGAACAGATCCCATGTGATGCTTGTTTAATTTGACTACAAACCCAAAGCAATAAATGTTGATGGCTACGCTCAGTCACTGTAATGGATTCATCGACTCCTTGAATGATGAGAGGCCTCAAAGAGAACATACAACGTTTCAACGCTGGAAATGATTCATCAGAGCTTTTTCTATTGCCAAAGATCTCTTACATCTACTTCGTCTGGGGATTCTCCGGTGCCGTAAAACAAGTGTGGTGAGCCACACTGTGGCAAGGTGGGACTGCAACATGTCGCGAGTCCACCTTGGTCGCCAAGATGATCTGACAATTTAAAGGACCATTTATCAATGTAGTAATGTCTGCAGTCACACAAACTAAAACATGTCTGGAAAAGGAAATTAATGGGTGTTTACCACTTTGTTGTTGCGCTTCCATGGTTCCTCCATTGGAATCCGACAGAGTTACAGTTTTGGTTTTCTGCACCAGCCTGCATAACATTTGAGCACCATATAATTTAGTTGATGTCATACCATTTCAAGCTAATGTACCCAAGGTGTTGTTTGTATTCTCTCTGCTGTGAAGGAAGCTGTTCAAGCTCCAAGCTGTGGAGCCACATTGCCTGCGGATCACTGCACCTACATTCATCGGATTCTAGTTCACATTCTTGCATAGAATCTAGAAAACAGATCAGGATATGCTCTTAATAATGTGTATGGCCACATGCACATGAGTACACTGCTGCTGACAAGAAACTAGTAGTTTTTACTCTGTTTTTGTGCTCCAATAGTATTAGGCATCCCCACAACTCTCTCCCACCGGTTCCAATTTTGGTATGCCTCATAGACAAGCATGACCTGCACAAAATTTAGAACCCCACATAAATAATTCTCTCCCTGCATGCTAATCATGGTAAATAAATCGATTCTAAGTCACGCTGTTACTCTTGACCTCACAAACTTCGCAAATAGGGTTCAACTTGAGAGTGAGGCGTTTGATACAAGTATAAATCATCTCCCATTCTGCAGATCCTTACATGTCTTATTGTTTCTTCCCACTTCTTGTCTGACATATTTATAATCTGATTGACAGAGAGAAATTTATCTCATAAATGCATAAAGCACCGATTAAGATATTCAAAATTTTGAAGGCTAATTGCTTGAGTTTTGGCTTACGTACATCTCAGAGGCGTTGCAGAGGTGTTGCCGATCAACAATTGAAAGCTTCAAGAAATCATGCACGGTCTTAATTCCAGCAGCATCCAGCCTCCTGTGAATTGCTCCATTCCTGCTAATATTGAGTAGCCTCCATACTTCATGATCAAGAGATGGGGGATGCGGCTTCTGATTGACTGGAAGGCATACAAAGAAAGGCAACAGTTGATCGATAAAGCACTGTAGAGACTATGAAACTCGCTATCTAGCTTCTGTGTTTTCTAAGAGAGAATATATATTGTCAAATACTTGTTCCTTGAAGGAGAAATCAGATATACAAAAATAACAAAGTACAGCTATCACTAACAAAGCACAAACACTAGACTTACATTTGCTTCGATGGTCTAAAACCCGGAAACTTTCTGTTATCGATTCTTTAATCCTTGGTCCTTTATAGCTGCCCGGAGAAACTCTGACTCCTAGTCTAAATTTCCCGGTCCTTACCCAACTCGAGTTATCAGTGACCTTAAGTGTTCCAAAGGAAGCTATGCCTTGACGTAATTGAGCCTTGCTATCTCCCAGAAGCAATGATCTCTTATTCTCCCGTTTTTCTAATATGCTGCTATTGAACTCATCAGTGTTCCAGTCCTGACTATTTTCTCTGGGGAAATCTCCATCAAGGACCACTATTTCTACTTTGATAGGTGAGTGAAGCGAAAATACAGAACTCTGACCATGTTTGATTTGCATGAGGGAAACTTGGAGTTGATTATGATCATCGTATTTTATCACATCTTTGTTGAAGATTGGAAGTAAGAGTTTCTCTTTGTGAAGACAAGTTGCAAGTCTGATGCTGGCTGGACATCTTCGGTAGGCACAGATCTGCAGTAAAATTTGGTCCCTCCCGAGTTAAATAACAAACAGTAACACAAAATTCTCCTATGCCAGCACACATTAACTGTTTGTTAAACAATTGGACCTTGGAGTACAAGTTTGCATCCCTCTGTCTTTGAAGAGTTCCTAAGTTCAAATACTTGTGGCAGTGGTTTCAGGTGTTAGTCCTAATTGGACAATAAAAACCAAAGAGAAGAAAAAAATGACCAAGGTGATGGTCTAGATGGACAATGGCTCCCTCCATTTTTATTAAAAATTACAGAGATACAGTAAATACTTTATAATCAACATGATTGCACAAAAGTTAGGGTTTTACATGTCCTACCTTGCCAACTGACTAGTGTGAGCAATCCTGCCGTGCCGTTTGCTTGCTGGCACATGATATTGTCAGTTTGATTTAAAATTTGAGGAATCACATGCTCCAGTTTCTCATTCATCTATATCAATTAGATAATGTTTTAAGAAATATTATGGAATGTAATTGATAGAATGAACTGTTTGAGCAATTTAAATAACCACTGATACAAAATATTGAAAACTTCAGGAATCATGCGCTTCAGCTCCTCTTGCACTGATAGCACACAGATCAAACATGAATGAGCAAGCAATATTTTACAAGTGTTTTGACATATTTGAAATATGACCACTTATAAAATGCAGTATGCATGCCTAGAGAAAGTTATTGAATAATAACATAAGCTTGGATTTCCTACTGAACACAAGCTTTGGACCAACTGTGTTCAAAATTAAGGAAAAAAAGAAGAGGAAGGTGAGTCAGTAATTATTCCATAAAATTTTAGCATCGATTAAAAAGATACCGTACCACTTTCCGAACCAAATCAGTTATTGCCATGCCAAAGTGCCATGCCAAAGTTGCACCACTCTTGGAACTTACTAAAGCTCTCTGCCCAGTAAATGGAGACAGAAGTCAGATAAACCTTGCTCTTATGCGATTATAATAAATAAATCTGATCGCATAATCCACTAAATGCAAAAATCCTTATAAAATGAGCAAAAAATTTTGAAATATAGCACACAACAGATCAAACCTACGTTCACTTATACAATGCAGTATGCAGCCCCAGAGAAAGTTATTTAATAATAACACAAGCTTGGATTTCCTACTGAACACAAGCTTTGGGCCAACTGTGCTCAATATTAAAGAAAAGAAGAAGAGGAAGGTGAGTCAGTAATTATTCCATACAATTTTAGCATCGATTAAACAGATACCGTACCACTTTTCGAACTGAATCTTCCATTGCCATGTCAAAGTTACACCACTCTCGGAGCTTGCAAAAGCTCTCTGCCCAGTAAATGGAGACGGAAGTCAGATAAACCTCGATCTTATGCGGTCATAATAAATGAAACTGATTGCATAATCCACTAAATGCAAAAATCCTTCTTTCGTCCTCTGTAAATCTGAGGAACAAACATTACATAATCAAACAGGCAGAGATATGGAGCTTTAAGCAGAAAGTGGTTGTGTTAACAGATTGCTTAGGCTTCCAAAGAAGGCCTAGTCCTGATCCGCGTGGCCTCCGGATGATCCAACTTACTTATTCTCTGCAATCAAACTCGATAGGATAAGGTCAGGACAAATCGAATGAAAGAAAGAGGGGAGGAGAAGAACAAAACGTAATGAGAAGGGAGAAAGGATGAGTCTACAGTCATACAAGGAAGCGTCGCAGCAGAGCTTCATGCTCTTTCTACTTCCTTGATGAAATTTCACGATGATTGTGGGGTTCATCGACGAAGAAGTTACCTCTTGCGAATGGCGAAGGAGTGTCTCTGTTTTTTCTTTTTCATAGAGGAAAAATACTATGGTTAGCATATGTAACGGTTGTAGTCCTGCGCGGTTCGTGAGCAGGAGGTGCATGAACGAAACCCACCACCGACGACAAAGAGAGAAGGGGAGATGGATGATATCCGTGAAGGAGGTGTAGCGCTGCGTGCTTCGAATCGAAAAGCTCACGAATTGTCGGTTCCGAACTCCTCCTTCCCGGACAGCTCCAAAACGCGGTGCTTCCTCTTCAGAGGGTGCCTCCGGATGCAGAGCAGCGATTCCCACATGTTGCGGTTCAGCGAGTCGCCCACGAACACCAATCTCTTCCCCGTCAACGCTCTGCATCTTCTTCCCCCTCCAGCCTAAAGGAATATGGTAGCATATGTACAAGTTACGATGCCATTGCACAAACCATCTCTCATCTTTCATGCCAGTGCCACTCGATGAAAGATGAAAGAATAGGTTCTGATGGTGACCTAAATGTGTGAGAGCGACAGAGTCTCACGTTGCGCAGGTCGTGGACCGATGGAAACCCCTAGGGCATGGCGGGATCGGATCCGAGGGAGAGAGACGTCTGCGTCCGCCAGGGGGGCAGTATGACGTCGGAGTCGAGGGTGCGTGCGTCGGAACGCCACGGTCCAGAGCTGGGTGGAGCCGAGAGCACCAACGCCGGCCTCCCCTCGGGTTCCCTTCTCAATTCTAGGCTTTCGATCGCGCTGGGTGCCGAGTTCGGGCCACTAGAAAAGAAGGCCTATTTGGAGCGTTCCCATGCCATTATATGAGCTGCGTGAGTATACTTGTTGAAGATGCTTGGCATCCTTTCCAACGAAGTTATTGAGTTGTTGCTCTATTTTATTATATTATATGGATCAATCAATCTAAGAAAAACAATAAGATAGATGGATTTCTCGATCTTTTAAACTCAATTGTGACAACGATTAGTTGGGAGATTACGACTGACAAGAACAACACAGAGAGACTATTTTCAATATATTATACACAGTGAAATAATTCTTGTATTTTAAATTTTGAAAAAAAAAATTGATATTTCTATATTAATTATTCTTAAGATTACCTCTAATTTACCGTGTGATTTTTACCCTTTACGTTCGAAGAATTTTTCACATAAATCTTAGTATTTATTTATATACAAAAGTTTAGTTCTCTTTTTATTCTATCAACAATCTTTCAACAAATCCCGCGATGCTTGTTCAAATCGATCGCTAACCCAAAGCAATATATGTTAGTGGCTATTCGCGATCAGAGTTATGTGAATACTGTAATGGATTCATCGACTCATTGAATGATGAGAAGCGTCGGTGAGAACATATAACGTTTTGACGCTGGAAATTTGTACAAAATCAAATAACATCATAATCCACAGGTCAGCTTTTCCTATTGCCAAATATCTCCTATTATTGTTTCACCTGGGGATTCTCCGGTGCCGCAAAACATGTTTGGACTCCATGCCAATTGCGAGCTGGGACTCCACAATGCGGCTGATCTACCTAGGTCGCCAAAATGATCTGACAATTTAAAGGGCAATTTCTCAATGTAGTAATGTCCCTAGTCACACAAACTAAAACATGTTTAGAAAAAGAAATTAATGGATGTTTACCACTTTGTTGTTGCGCTTCCATGGTTCCTCCATCGGAGTCCGATGGGTTCCAGTTTTGGTTTTCTGCACCGGCCTGCATAGCATTTGAGCACCATATAATTTAGTTAATGTCATACCAGTTCAAGCTTATAATGTACCCAAGATGTTGTTTGTATTTACTCTCTGCGGTGAAGGAAGCTGTTCAAGAACACACACAGAAGCTCCGAGTGGTGGAGTCACATTGCCGGCGGACAGCTCCCTCTGAGACCCATCTAGCGGATTACTACACCTTGGTTCATCGGATTCTAGTCCACATTTTTTGATAGAATCTGGAAAACAGATCAGGATGTGCTCTCTTAATAATATGTATATAGCTAGTTATCTAACTATGAACATGCACATGAGTACACTGCTGCTGACAAGAAACATGTAGTTTATACTACTCTGTTTTTGTGCTCCAATCATAGAAGGCGTCCCCGGAACTCTCTCCAACCGGTTCCAATTTTGGTATGCCTCAGTAGCATGCTGGACCTGCATAAAATTTAGACCCCCACATAAATAATTCTCTTCCAGCATGCTAATCATGGCAAATAAATCGATTCTAAGTCGGTGCATCCATCATCCTTACTGTCTCTTCTGAAGCGAGCTGTGTAAGAGCGATGCTCACGCCGTTCTTCCTGACTTCAACAACTTCGCAAATAGGATTCAACTTGACAGTGAAAGGAGGTTTATCATACAAGTATAAATCATCTCCCAGTCTGCAGGTCCTTGCATGTCCTATTGTTTCTTCCCACTTCTTGTCTGACATCTTTATAGTCTGATTGACAGAGAGAAATTTATGCCTCATAAATGCATAGAGCACCGATTAAGATATTCAAAATAATTGCCTGAGTTTTGGCTTACGTACCTTTCGGAGGTGTTGCTGATCGACAACCGAGAGCTTCAAGAAATCTTGCACGGTCTTAATTCCAGCAACATCCAGCCTCCTTTGAAATGCTCCGTTCCTGCCAATATTGACTAGCCTCCATACTTCGTGATCAAGAGATGGGGGATGAGACTTCTGATTGACTGGAAGGCATACAAAGAAAGGCAACCATTGATCAATAAAGCCTCTGTGTTTTCCAAGCGAGAATATATATGGTCAAATACTTGTTCCTTCCAGGAGAAATCAGATATACAAAAAATAACAAAAGTACATCTATCACTAACAAAACACAAACACTGAGACTTACATTTGCTTCGATGGTCTAAAACCAGGAAACTTTCTGTTATCGCTTCTTTAATCCTTGGTCCTTTATAGCTGCCCGGAGAAACTCTGACTCCTAGTCTAAATTTCCCGGTCCTTACCCGACTCGAGTTATCAGTGAGCTTAAGTGTTCCAAAGGAAGCTATGCCTTGACTTAATGGAGCCTTGCTCTCTCCCAGAAGCAATGATCTCTTATTCTCCCGTTTTTCTAATATGCTGCTATTGAACTCATCAGTGTTCCAGTCCTGACTTTTTTCTCTGGGGAAACCTCCATCGAGGACCACTATTTCTACTTCGATAGGTGAGTGAAGCGGAAAAACACACCTCTGATCATGTTTGAATTGCTCGAGTGACACTTGGAGATGATTATGATCCTCGTCTTTGATCGCATCTTCGCTGAAGCTTGGAAGTAAGAGTTTCTTTGTGAAGGCAAGTTGCAAGTCTGATGCTGGCTGGACGTCTTCCGTAGGCATGGATCTGCAGTGAAAGTGTATTGTGTCCCTCACGAGTTAAATAACAAACAGTAAGCACAAAATTATCCTGTGCCAGCAGACACTAACAATCTGTTAACCAATTGGACCTCGGACTACCAGTTTGCATCCCTCTTTGTCTTTGAAGAGATTCAAATACTTGTGGCAGTCGCTTCAGGTGTTAGCCCTAATTAATTGGACAATAAAAACGACCAAGGTGACTGCCCAGATTAGGGCTTTACATGTTTGCACAACATCACATTAATTGGACAATATAATTCTTAAGAATTACAGAGATACTATATAATCAACATGATTGCACAAAAGTTAGGGTTTTTACATGTCCTACCTTGGCAACTGACTATTATGAGCAATCACCCCATTCGCTTGCTGGTGCATGATATTTTCAAATCGATTTAAAATTTGGGGAATCACATGCTCCAGTTTCTCTTCCATCTGTGTCAATTAGATAATGTTTGAAGAAATATTATGGAACGTAATTGATAGAATGAACTGTTTGAGCAATTTAAATAACCTTTCTTTCCAACCGCTGATACAAATCATTGACAAATTCAGGAAACAAGCGCTTCATCTCCTCTCGCACAAGCTGAACACAATCTGAACGCAAGCTTTGCACCAACTGTGCTCAAAATTAAAGAAAAGAGGAAGAGGAAGGTGAGTCAGTAATTATTCCATGCAATTTAAGCATCGATTAAAAAAAGATACCGTACCAGTTTTCGAACTGAATCTTCTTCGATCGCCATGCCAAAGTTACACCACTCTCGGAGCTTGCAAAAGCTCTCTCTCTCTCTCTCTCTCTGCCCGGTAAATGGAGACGGAAGTCAGATAAACCTCACTCTTATTAAATCATAATAATGAAGCTGATTGCATAATCCACTAAATGCAAAAAAAAAAACCTCCTTGCGTACTCTGTAAATCTGATATTAAAAAAAAAAACATACATAATCAAACAGGCAGAGATATGGAGCTTCAAGCAGGAGAGGGGAGGAGAAGTACGCTAGGGTAACGAGGAGGCGGCGGAATTTATAGCCATCGGTGAGGGTGAGGTCTCCTGATGAGAGAAATTTCATGGTGGGGGGGGGGGGGGGGGGGGGGCGTTTCTGATTTTTTTTATAGAGGAAAAATTGTATGGTCACTCCATCAATCTTTGACTGTAGAAACTTTGCTCTCCCCATCCTTCCCCTCCAAAAGAAACGGGGAAAAACACTAGTAGCATTGTATGGAAATTTCGATACCGGTACACATACCATCTCTCATCTTTCATACCAGTGCCACATGATGAAAGATGAAAGATCAGGTTCTGAAATATGCCAGTGCCACTCGATGAAATATGCAAGATATGCATACGCCGTTTAATCTTGACTATTCGATGATCTCGATATCTTCTTCCCCTCCAACCTATTGGAAATAATACACTGGTAACATATGTGAAAATTCCGATGATAGTGCACAGACCATCTCTCATCTTTCATTTCGGTGCCTCTCGATGAAAGTAAAGATATGGTAACCCCGTTAACCTTTACTGTTCAACGCTCTCGGCATCTTCTTCCCCTGCAACCTAAATAGGAAGTAGATATCTTCTTATTCACGGCAATACGAACGGAGAAGAATGCATGCTAAGTTTTCATTTGCAACGTTATAGATTAGATTAAGAAGAAGAGAAGAGAGTGTTAACTGAAGAAGAAGAAGAAGAAGAAGAAGAGAATATAGTGTTGCAAAAGTATAGAATCTACGTAGCAATTGGTATAGATTTGTTAGTAAACAACTAAGCATTACTCTACCGAACTCCTTAATCACAATTAAGAACGGTCAACTCAAATAATCACTTTACTTTTAACTGTAGGTCCGCTCACCGACGAAGACTCTGTAAGCGCCGAGTAAAACAGTCAAACCAGGAATGGAATGTTTATCTTCATCTACTCTATCTTCTGAATCAATTCCTTCATCTGATACTGCTGGAACTCCCGAAACGCTAATGGAAGTTTCATCTTTGTCTTTTCTTTTGTTTCATCTATGTCTTTTGCTGAGCTCACCAACGCGACTTGTCAAAAAGTCGTCCCGCTGAGTCTTGTGTGAATGGGATTACCTCGGCCTTGGCTCTCGCCTGAGCTCACTAACTCCAGTTTGAATATTCTTTGTTGATTCTTACCTTCTTCAAAGCCCTGTTGCTTGATACCGCACGACTTCTTCTTTCGTGGACAAGAAACTGGAATTGAACTGACCACCGACGACACAACGTCTTGCCGGCACCCGACCTCTCAGTTTTGTTGGGTCCCGCTCATAGGTCGACTTAGATCGATTGATTTGACATTGAGCTCAAATTTAATTTATTAAAAAAAAAATGAATGGGAAACGTGCGCAGGGTGAGAGGCGTGAGAAAGGTGCGGTGAACAGAAAATGAATAGGAGAGAAAAGGTTAAAATTTTTTGATATTTTTGTTACTAGTAAAATTTTATTATTTTTGATCCAAATTTTATGTGGAGAATCCTTGTAACGAGTCCTACAATCCTAATGGTGTCGATCTACAGGTTGTCCTCTCTGAAATGTTTTTTTGATATACCCATTTGGTGAGATCTATTTTTTTTATTTATAAAATATGATGATGATGTGTTATTGTTGAACTAAGATCTATGTTCTTGATATTATTATGATCATCTAATTATTTAGAAAATATTTATTATAAACTCATTGTTATTATTGGTGATAGTGAAGATTTAAAGTAAACTACGATCCGTGATTTTTCTTATATTAAGATTTTCACATAAAATTTTGGTGTCTCATTTTGTGATTAATTCATTGTTCTAACGTGTATGCTGTTCTGGTTAATATTTACTTTTGATAATAAATTAATATTTTGATGAGGATCCCAATTCGATACATAATGAGGGAAAAGAATTATTTTGCTATAATAATTTTTTTTCAATATGTTTCTTTCCGCTTTAGATATCTTACTTTCAATGCTGCTTATGCCTCGAATTCTACTTGAAGTTCAGATCTAGATCTAGTTGATTCTCTCGCAGACAACACTCAAACTCGAAGATTCTCTCTCCTCTTTTAAAGCTATAACCTCTCCTGAACACTCAATATTTATTTTTGATAATAAATTAATATTTTAATGAGGATAAGGAAAAAAAATTTATTTCGTTATAATAGTTTTTCCCAACACATTTATCCCCGCTTTAGTTCCTATTTCATATCTTTCTTTCAATCCTGCTTATGCCTCGAATTCTACTTGAAGTTTAGATCTCCATCCAGCTGATTCTCTGGTAGACGACACTCAAACACAAAGAGATTCTCTCTCCTCTCCTAAAGCTATCACCTCTCCACAGTCGACAAAACAAATTGAATCAACAACACAATCACCGAATCTATACTTCGCATCTAAAGACTCAGCAGACTCCACTTTAGTACACCGCACTGCATTAGACAAAATTGCAAGTCCAAGGCAAGCTCCGGAAGGACAATTGGTTTAGTTACCAACACGAGGTCGACCACGTAAAGGTTCAGTTCAGGCTGTAAACGCTTCTTTCGAGTCGAGTTCAGTTCCGCTCCTAACGTTGTCAGTCGTGCTTGACATTCTCTTCCAGGCCCTACAGCTCTCGCACAAACAAGGTAGTCGAAAACAGGACTTGTTTCGAGTGCTAAGACGAGTTACGAAGTTCCAGTTGAATCTATAAGATCAGAAGCGGAGGATAGAATCGATTCTAAAAGTGAAGTTCCAGATTCCAGTTAAGTTACATAAGCTCCTCTTTAAGAATTAGTTGTGGCACAGATCAGGAAGGAAGGCTAGATGAATCGAGCAAGAGGTACATCAGCAACAGCAAGGGTAGAAAGACTCTAGCAATCGGGTCTGAAAGCCGAGAAGAAGCTGTTAGTTACATTGGTTCAAGTTCCAAGGTAAGGCGCAAGAAGACTCATTACTAAGGCGAGTTTCCAGTTAAGTCGATTCGACAGGTCTTGTTTCTTTGGGTGCTTGTTTGTTGTCTACGAGAGGGTTGACAGCCTTAACCCTTACAAGTATAAATCGTCTCCCAGTTTGCAGTTCTTTGCATGTCCTATTGTTTCTCCCCACTTCTAGTCTGACATCTTTATAATCTGATTGACCGAGAGAAATTTATGTCTCGTAAATGCATAGAGCACCGATTAAGACATTCAAAATTTTGAAGGGTTGGAATTGCCTGAGTTTTGGCTTACGTACATCTCGGAGGCATTGCTGAGCAACAACCGAGAGCTTCAAGAAATCATGCACGGTCTTAATTCCAGCAGCATCCAGCCTCCTGTGAATTGCTCCATGCCTGCTAATATTGAGTAGCCTCCATACTTCATGATCAAGAGATGGGGGATGCGGCTTCTGATTGACTGGAAGGCATACAAAGAAAGGCAACAGTTGATCGATAAAGCACTGTAGAGACTATGAAACTCGCTATCTAGCTTCTATGTTTTCTAAGCGAGAATATATATTGTCAAATACTTGTTCCTTGAAGGAGAAATCAGATATACAAAAATAACAAAGTACAGCTATCACTAACAAAGCACAAACACTAGACTTACATCTGCTTCGATGGTCTAAAACCCGGAAACTTTCTGTTATCGCTTCTTTAATCCTTGGTCCTTTATAGCTGCCCGGAGAAACTCTGACTCCTAGTCTAAATTTCCCGGTCCTTACCCAACTCGAGTTATCAGTGACCTTAAGTGTTCCAAAGGAAGCTATGCCTTGACGTAATTGAGCCTTGCTCTCTCCCAGAAGCAATGATCTCTTATTCTCCCATTTTTCTAATATGCTGCTATTGAAGTCATCAGTGTTCCAGTCCTGACTATTTTCTCTGGGGAAACCTCCATCGAGGACCACTATTTCTACTTCGGTAGGTGAGTGAAGCGAAAAAACACAACTCTGACCATGTTTGAATTCCATGAGTGACACTTGGAGATGATTATGACCCTCGTCTTTGATCGCATCTTCGCTGAATCTTGGAAGTAAGAGTTTCTTTGTGAAGGCAAGTTGCAAGTCTGATGCTGGCTGGACGTCTTCGATAGGCACGGATCTGCAGTGAATTTGCATCCCTCCCGAGTTAAATAACAAACAGTAAGCACAAAATTCTCCTATGCCACCACACGTTAACGGTTTGTTAACCAATTGGACCTCGGACTACCAGTTTGCATCTCTCGTCTTCGAAGAGATTCAAATACTTGTGGCAGTCGCTTCAGGTGTTAGCCCTAATTAATTGGACAATAAAAACGACCAAGGTGACTGCCTATATGGACAATGGCTCCGTCCATTTTTCTTAAGATTTACAGAGATACAGTAAATACTTTATAATCAACATAATTGCACAAAAGTTAGGGTTTCACATGTCCTACCTTGGCAACTGACTATTGTGAGCAATCACCCCGTTCGCTTGCTGAGGCATGATATTGTTAGTTTGATTTAAAATTTGAGGAATCACATGCTTCGGTTTCTCATTCATCTGTTTCAATTAGATAATGGTTTAAGAAATGTTATGGAACGTAATTGATAGAATGAACTGTTTGAGCAATTTAAATAACCTTTCTTTCCAACCGCTGAAACAAATCATTGAAAACTTCAGGAAACAAGCGCTTCAGCTCCTCTAGCGCCTATAGCACACAGATCAAACCTAAATGAGCAAACAATATTTAAGAAGTGTTTTGACATATTTGAAATATAACCACTCATAAAATGCAGTATGCATCCCTAGATAAAGTTATTGAATAATAACACAAGCTTGGATTTCCTACTTAACACAAGCTTTGCACCAACTGTGCTCAATATTAAAGAAAAGAGGAAGAGGAAGGTGAGTCAGTAATTATTCCATAACATTTTAGCATCGATTAAAAAGATACCATACCACTTTCCGAACCAAATCAGTTATTGCCATGCCAAAGTAACACCACTCTCAGAACTTACGAAAGCCCTTTGCCCAGTAAATGGAGACAGAAGTCAGATTAACCTTGATCTTATGCGATTATAATAAATGAAGCTGATCGCATAATCCACTAAATGCAAAAATCCTAATAAAATAAGCAAAAAATTTTGAAATATAGCACACAACAGATCAAACCTACGTTCACTTATACAATGCAGTATGCAGCCCCAGAGAAAGTTATTTAATAATAACACAAGCTTGGATTTCCTACTGAACACAAGATTTGGACCAACTGTGCTCAATATTAAGGAAAAGAAGAAGAGGAAAGTGAGTCAGTAATTATTCCATAAAATTTTAGAATCGATTAAAAAGATACCATACCACTTTTCGAACTGAATCTTCCATCGCCATGTCAAAGTTACACCACTCTTGGAGCTTGCAAAAGCTCTCTGCCCAGTAAATGGAGACTGGAAGTCAGATAAACCTCACTCCTATGCGGTCATAAGAAATGAAACTGATTGCATAATCCACTAAATGCAAAAATCCTTCTTGCGTCCTCTGTAAATCTGAGGAAAAAACATTACATAATCAAACAGGCAGAGATATGGAGCTTTAAGCAGAAAGTGGCTGTGTTAACAGATTGCTTAGGCTTCCAAAGAAGTAGTCCTGATCCACGTGGCCTCCGGATGAACCGACTTACTTATTCTCTGCAATCGAACTCAGTAAGATAAGGTCAGGACAAAACGAATGAAAGGAAGAGGGGAGGAGAAGAACAAAACGTAATGAGAAGGGAGAAAGGATGAATCTACGGTCATACAAGGAAGCAAACAAGGAAGCGTCGCAGCAGAGCTTCATGCTCTTCTCCTTCCTTAATGAAATTTCATGATGAATGTGGGGTTCATCGACGAAGTTACCTCTTGCGAATGGCGGCAGAGTGTTTCTGCTTTTTATTTTTTATAGAGGAAAAACACTATGGTTAGCATATGTAACGGTTGTAGTCCTGCGCGGTTCGTGAGCAGGAGGTGCATGAACGAAACCCACCACCGCCAACAAAGAGAGAAGGGAAGATGGATGATATCCGTGAAGGAGGTGCAGCACTGCATGCTTCGAATCGAAAAGCTCACGAATTGTCGGTTCCGAACTCCTCCTTCCCGGACACCTCCAAAACGCGGTGCTTCCTCTTCAGAGGGTGCCTCAGGATGCAGAGCAGCGATTCCCACGTGTTGCGGTTCAGCGAGTCGCCCACGAACACCAATCTCTTCCCCGTCAACGCTCTGCATCTTCTTCCCCTTCAGCCTAAAGGAATATGGTAGCATATGTACAAGTTACAATGCCATTGCACAAACCATCTCTAATCTTTCATCGACAACCATCTCTCGTCTTCCATGCCAGTGCCACTCGATGAAAGACGAAATATTAGGTTCTGATGGTGACCCAGTCGACGAAAGATGAAAGTTGCGCAGGTCGTGGACCGATGGAAACCCCTAGGGCATGGCGGCATCGGATCCGAGGGAGAGAGACGTCTGCGTCCGCCAGTATGACATCGGAGTCGCGGGTGCGTGCGTCGGAACGCCACGGTCCAGTGCTGGGTGGAGCCGAGAGCACCAACGCCGTCCTCCATCCGCGCCTCTCGCCGCCGCCCCGGCCCCTTTTAATTCAACGCTTTCGATCGCGCTGGGTGACGAGTTCGGGCCATTAGACCCAAAGGCCCATTTGGGGCCTTCCCATGCCATTATATGGATGGGAGCAAACCCCTAATAATAATAATCGTATTTACCCTTCTCATCATCATATACACGTGTCCATTTTAATGGTAAAACGCCTTCATTTTACTGCTGAGGAGCTTCAGCACTGAGAAGAGGGAGAACAAACTATACAATGTTTGATCATTAAACTGGCATCTCTTGTCTTGCATAGTTTCCTTAACAGAGGAACCACAAATGCTCACAAGAAACGATAAAATGTAAAAGGAAACAACTACATGTAACATAGCTTTCAGCAACACAAGTCTTGCTCTGCAGGGATGAAGACGGCAGCGTCAGCGACTCAGTCATCCCCAACCTTGTAAGACTCCACCGTGATCTCGGACAGCCACAATCCTGGGAAGAGAGACTGGCCAAAACATGTAAACCGAGACCGAGTCATTTATCGGTAACCGATGACGAACCACAAATATCATTTATTAGTTTATACATCATACATACCTGCATGCCAGCGCACATATGTACGTCAGAGATTATATATATATATATATATACATAGCAAAGCAAAGCAAAGAAAACATAGAGAGCTGTGAAATAATGCATTTATCGCTTGGCTACATATTATGCTTTTACAAAACATGTGGAGAGAATGTTCTGTCCGCCGGCCGGCCAACCAACGTGTGTGGCTTTTGTCTGGGACCCAGCCAACTGACCTCATGCGAGAATCGGTTCGCGATGCTTCCAATAGTTACCTGACACGTATCTGTGAGCTACGTACAAATACATGGGGAGAAATGCGTCCGTGTGTACGCGCGTAGGGACGTTTTGTCACCAGTAGAAGTAGCGCATCAGTGCTACAGGGAATAATGGTATCGAAATATGATATGTAGCGAAAAGAAAAAGGGTGGTTTAATTGGCGGAGAGGGTAACTAAAGAAATATTACCGGCCATAAAAGCATCGTAGGGAAATAAAACAGGGAAAAATTAGAAAGGCTTACGTCCAGCAGGCGCTGCACGGCCCGGGGTCGCTTTTTCGGCCGCCGCCGGGGCCGCGATCCCGTCACGGCATAGATGTCCTCCTCGATCTCCTCCGCCGTCAGCGACACCGTTAGTCCGCTCTTCCTCCTCTTATCCTCCTCGTCTGTCGCCCCGGTAAGCGCCCCCGCGCTGGCGCAACCCCCTTGGCCGTTCCCGTTCGTCGGCCGCCTCGCCCTCAGGTTCCACGGCCTCGCGGTCTCTCGCGCTGCCTCCGGAGTCTCCAGCTTCATCCGGTCCGCAGCATCCTGGAGATGGCCCATCAGCTTCGCTCTCAGCTCCTCCAACCCCCCGTCCTCGCCGCCGCCGCCGCCGCAGCTCCGTTGCCCCGCAGGGGACCCACGGCTACCGGATGGCGCCGCCTCCGAGCGGGTCCGATCTACGCCGTTCCGGTCGACGCTGCCGCGGCGGGGTATCCGCCGGTCGCCCCATCTCGGAAAGGGGAGACGGTGGCGGAGGTTGGCGTCGATTTCGCCAGGCGGTGGGTCCTCCGCGGCCGCCATGGAACCGCCGCTCGTCGCTCGACCGGGCGGCCACAGGATCCGCTCTTTCTACGGTAGCGGGGGTGCGAAGTCGGCGACGGTTACAGGCACCGCCGGTGGGAGAAACGACATAGAGAAAAGTGGGAGAGAACCGGTAGAGGATGGAGAGTCGTCGAAGGTTTTAATGCCGGGTGTAAGGGTGTTTTGGGAAATTAAAAGCAAGGCTCGGTATCCTGCTTAGAGATCGATCACCCGAAAAGATACCGAGGACGAAAGCGGGGGATGTCGGTTTTGTCTCGACGGGTCACAATTGTGGGTGGCGATCTCGGCGTCCCCACTACAAGCGTAAAGGAACCCAATCGGCAAAGGCAATGACTCGTTGGTTGACGCGTAGGCAATAAGGAGGTGATGAGGTCGCCGCTCTTGGACACACGTGAAATCCACGTGACACAGCCCTGTTGCTGGTAGGTGACGTGTTCCTACCCACAATTTTAATTTGCCTAAAATTATTCCCCAAAAAAACAAAAAAGAAAAGCTCATGCGACCTGAATTAATCAGATACATGGATAAAATACCTAAGCCTTTTATCCCCAAAAAAAAGACCAAAAAGAAGAGGTGAATAGTTGCGTAAAGTTGCACATCGCACTCTCATCCCATAGTAACTGTAACAGACATATATAGTTGCAGAAAAGAACGCTAACTGAAAGCATCCTCAGAACCATCTTTCCAAGTATGCAATGGTGGTATGCTTAGTGACTATGCTTGACAGTCATTTGGAACAATGGTGCCTCAGACCAGCTCACCATATAACTAAAATACAATTCAAAATTGTGGAAGACAGAGAACTACTGGCTTTAAATACATGAGGGGAAAGAACAACAGAGAAGATTATGAATTAAATGGTGTGCTGGAAGGGAGGGCTATGTAAAGATTCTAATGGCCACCAACCTCGGAGACTAAACACGGCGGCATCTTCGACATGTTTTCTGCACAGAAGAGTGCAAATTTGTTGAGATTTTCTGGAAGATAGATTGGACAGCAGAAGCATAAAAAGGATAACAGAAGCATTCACAAAGAAAATTCAATGGTATAGAACAAAGACATGGAATAACTAATCCAAGATAAAGCCAAATAAGAGTCTAATACACAACAAGAGCATGCCACATGCATTGCTTGCACAATGTTGAGAACTACATTCAGTGAAGCAACCTCTTCAGCTCATGTTATTTCCAGTATAAGATGTGATAATTGAGTAAATTTTGCAACAACATTTTAAAGGTGGAAAAGAAATCCCTTGTTATGCTATGATATATAGTTATCACGGAAGCAGTGGATAATAACATGCATTGTGGAGATGACAAGATTAGAAAGCCTTTGGTACCAATCATTGTCCCCATCTGCTTCAGCTTTATTATGGACCATATCCTTTCGAGTCGCAACAGTCAATATGTCCATTTTCACTGTGACATTAGTGACGTGGATACCTCCATTTGAAGTTGAGCTTCTCAATCCCCATGATGCCCAAGATAACAACAAACACTCTTCACACATTTGCAGACAAACTGAAATGTTCTCTCAAGTCTCATCTTGCTCCCAACCAAGGATTAGAAGACCGGTCCAATATTAACCAGTCCAACCGGAAAAAGGGATGTGGACCAGATGATTTAGCTTGATTTGATTTGAAACAGGGTTAGTGTCTGATAAACCCGACCAACCTGAACTAACCATTCGGTTTTAATCATTAAAACCGGATGCACCAGGTGGTTAACCTTCACCAACGCCCAAATCCTTTATTTAATTATTTAACAGCTTCTGACACGGTGCTGCTCGGGCACATCAACATTACCGCTCGGCTGTGTTGCTGCTTCCTCCACCCTGCTACAAGATATAGGCAGACATGCCTTCCTCTCTCACTCCCTCCAAAAGATTTCTGAAACAGCAGCATAGCCTCATGCTAGCAAGCAGCCAGAACTGCACATGCTGTTGGCATATGATACCACATGGTGGTGTGCCAGCCTAGGTGTAAGCTGGGGGAAAAAGAAGAACAAAGGAGAGAAAGGAAGAGACAAGAAGCCAAAGGTAAAAAAGATATACTTACCTAGATCACCGGTATCAATGCTTCCTCTCATAACCAGCAGAAACCTTCTTAAGATTAAGTGGAATTTTGCTTATGCCTTTGAAATAAACCAAGAAAATCCCAAATTGGTTTCTAAACTACCATAGAAATTGACTGGTTGCAGATACTACTTAGTCTGCCAAAAATATCTGCAAGAAAAGGGATGAGTTATGCTAAAAACGGCACACTCACATTCCATAGACACATTCTAGGACTGGTAAGAATGGAAACCCTTGCTCTCCTCCTCCCTCCCTCTTGCTCTGTTTTGTTGCTTGCTCTTGCTCTCCCCTCGTCCCCTCCTTTCTTCCTTTTTTAAAATTAGAATTGGATAAAAGCTAATAGAAAAAAGGGTCAGCTATAAGAATTTTCAGGACAGTAGATGAACAAAAAACATGAAAGAGCAGAGTTCAGGAACTGGGTGAAATAGGGCATCTTAAGTTGCCCCATCTTCTAACTTTTTTACCTAAGATAGCAGGAATGAACTATCGAAGGAAGTCAGACTTCCAAACTAAGTTCTAACAGTAACTAATGTGTTTTGGATCACACGACTGATTCCAAAACCAGATACAATGGTACAAGAATATAACAAGCCTGACAAACTACTTTCCAGAACATATGACATTTATATATGATATTTCTAAAATATCTAAGATAATAAACAGGCTTTAATAATTCAGAAGTTCTGCTAATAAATCATTTTATTCCAAAATTTTTAATAGATGGTTCAAAAGCCTTCGATGAAAATACCATTTAATAACCATAAAAGTTCTCCATTATTATTTGCATGCAGATTAGAGAATCTTGTTTCCATCTAGGGCAGCCTATAATGTTTTCCAGTGGAGGTGATCACAACAAGTTCCAGCACATGAAAAATCATTAAAAAAAAAAAACAAACTCTAGATTGAAACATTTATCGTTCAGGCTGCTGCCAGTGCCATCTTAGAGCACATATAAGTTTGTTTATTCATTTAGTTTCTTTGTCCGGAACTATACATGTTAGTACAAATTCCACCGAAGAGAATTAGGAAGACAAATACTAACCTTGACCTCCAACAAGATGACCTGAAGGATGCCTTCCTGTAACCAATGATTGAGCAAAAGAGTCCAGCTTGGTGATTTACTAGAAAGTACTCTATTCAAGACCTTAAAGCTTCATCAACATTGGAATCATAAAAGACACTGTCATCATCATCTTCAGAATCCAGAGAGGAATCTTCATATTCCATCTGCAATGCAGGATACTTTTTAAATAAATGACAAATGACATGCACGTGACGGTATTAAGTTGCATTCCAACACATACGTTACTGGAGCATGAATCGTCATCAGATTGAGTCTTCCAGTCATCAGCAACTATTAACTCGTCTTCTGAGATCCCCTGTACAAGTTAGAAAGTAATAAGAAAGTTAACGCAATCAATCAGTCAACAAGGAACAGATTTCGTGACATCAGAGAATAAAGATTTTCCAGTGTGGGCTATGTCAACTACAGCATTCATAATTTTTCCACCTATCAGAGTATATTGCCACTTCTCTTGGAAGTTCAAATTTATCTGAAGCCATTTGAGGCAAAGCATGTTTTAATAACACCAACATGACAAAATTTCTATATGTACTAGAATCTCTCCAGCTATTTTGACATCATGTACCAGCCACCTGATCAAAGACAAGATCAGGAAGACATGAACATCCTACTTGATCCTAGTCAGTTTTGGTAATGGAGTGCTCAAATAAAGTTGATAACTATGTAATAATTACAAACTTAAATACTGCACTTAATTTGGAAAAAAGATAACTGAATCATTATGCTCTCATTTTCATGATACTAGAGTTGGCTATCCTTTCTTTGACATGCCTAACATATTATGCACCATCCAAGATAAAGGTGCCAATTAGAATTCTAAGTAGGAATGCATTTAAGTAAAGGCTTTTGTTTTCTGCAATAGCTTCAGAGAAAATAAACTACTGGTCATGTTGATAGCCCTTCTCTATAAGCTTCAAAGGATATAACCTATTGTTCACCCTTCTATATAAGCTTAAAAAGATATAACCCATTGTTCATGCCAATTGCCTTCAGAGTTACCACAATGGAGATAATTACAGATCTAACAACTAGCAAGCTTCACAAGAATTTCCATGTTACTTTGGAGTCATGTTGTGGCCAAAAAGACAATCTCTGCAATTCTTACACCCTAGGTTTCCAAGGATTGCCAAAAGTTAACCTGGAACTATTAGTCGAACAGTTTGATTCCTCATATGTACTTTTTGCAAAGATGGGTATCTTTTTGTTTTCTGGTGGGCTGATGAACAAATAACCAAAAGACAGTGACACAAAATTTATTATTGGAAAATAGTAGAAGTTCAATTTATGATTTCAATATAATTTAGGTTTATATCAATTGCCTATATTGTAAAACATTATATTAATCAACATTTGACATTCAAAGGAGAGAGAAATGTAGCACTGAGGTTCTTGTACACATTATACACAGATTTATAAACCATATCCGTACTCCATTGTAAACATGTTATGTCATGTTACAATCACATGATTTTTTAATTATTTTCGACAGGAAAAGTCCACCTAATACAGCATAGATAATTTCAGTCTTAACTGTTTCTTACTAAAGAGTATAATGACAATAGCACATACCACTTCCTCTTTCATCTGTTTTATGGTTTTCTCGAGCGCATCTATGTGTTGGCTAAGGGCCTGCAACAATAATTTTAAGGCACAATAAAAATTAAGACTAGAATCTCAGGTAAACTGATGAAAATTGTATCTGAGAGACTGATAGGACCTCATTTTCTTGTAATTTTAGAAACAAGAAAATGAACAAACCTCATGGCGCTGGATTGCTACAGCACGTTTTAATGCTTTTGCCTTCGTTAGAAGGTTTCTGGGCCGCAAGCTGATAGGCCGCTGATAATTCTTCCCACGATAATAAATAAGTGCAAAACCTTTGGGGACACTCTCAATTGCCACTAAAATCCCCCCACTCTCATATTCCAAAAGTCGTGCGGTGTCCTCAACGAAAGATAAGGTCTTCTGCTTTGATATTAATTTCACCAATTCTCTATGCTTCCAATGCAAGTGCATATTTTCAATTACACCATCAAAAACACCACGAATTCCTGTATATGGGTACGAAGAATGATAAGGCTAAAAGTTGGAAGCAATAATTCCACAAATGTAACAGAAACTGACCAAGAGGAAGATATGCCTTCATCCGCAAACCAATCCTGCGAAACACAGATCGTTCCTCATCGGTGATTGTTTCCTGGTCATTAGATGGGTTCACCGGAACCATGGATGCTTCAATCTTAGCGAGCAGTTTCTCAGCTCTTAACTTCTTTGCTTGAGCCTGCCCATGCAGTGACAAAAGAAACATTCAGCCTGAATACTATAGAATTCTTAAAAGGAGAAAAACAACCAAGAAAGGTAGAAGAAATCACAAATAAAAGATCATAATACTAAAACTTTATACCCCAGATGGTGCAACTTGCACAAATGTCAAAAGAAAATTACATCACAAAAGCAGGCATAAAAAATTTACAGCAGATGAAGGTATATGTAGCATATGCCACACCAACAGAAAAAGAACAATTCCATATTGATCGTCTTACAGCAACAAGAAACATGGACTACTTGATTATTCAGGTTCGCAGGCAGATTACTTTTACTCAATAAAAAAAACAGATTTAATAAATTTAAAAAGAGTCAACACTTATAAGTTTCATGAAAGCATATCCATCAAGTGGCCATAGAGGGAGATAACTTACAACGGAAAGCTTTTGTTCAATTTTCTTAAACAGCTTGGTTCTTTCAGATCTTAAAGCTTCTTTTTTCATTGCATCACATTCTTCAGAGGATATATCTCTTCCCCACCGTGCCTGAGCCTCAAGAAATTCAGCCAAAGTACCAACAGGTGCATGCTCCTCAAGTGCATCTACACAAGGTTCTCCAATCATGCTTTTGCGCATTTGCTCCTCAGCATCTTGAATTTCCTTTGTTAGTTCCTCTCTTTCAGCCAAAGCAGTGGCGACAGTTGTTGGAATAAAATCCTTCCCACGATAAATTACAATGTAATATTTGTTTCTGAGCAGCAGGATTCCTCCAGTCAAAGCCTAAAGTACAGTGTGAAAATTTAGGCATCAACCATGGTTTTGAACAACAAAGAGAAAGGTTCATCCTATGCATCTCCTCATAATTTTTCCAATTTTCCCAATCAGTAAGACAACAATGCATTACCACACAATTTTATAAGGCACCAATTGACTGCAATATGTGCAGATTTATTAATAAAGCTAGTGTATCATTTAGTGAGAAATATTTCATGTAAAGCTTTTCAAGACAACAATAAACTTCAAAGGAGACCAAAAATATGCAGAACAGCATATCATTCTTCCTATTGGATTTGTAGTAAGCTGAGGGATAGTGTTAGCTCTGTAAGAGATGAGAGAAAATCATTAAGCCATTTCAAAAAAGAAATGCCACAAGGAGGAATCACAAATGATCAGGATAGAGGAAAATCAGAAAAATAGATAACCACTTGATTCATAGGATCTAGCCAATGGTGGAATATCTGGAAAAAAATCGGAGGCTATGTGGTTAACATCATCCAGAAGGCTGGAACTGGAAGACTTAAAAACTACAAAAAAAACATTATAGAACAGCAATCATGACAACCACAGGAGAGAAAAAGAAAAAGATATTCATGTAGAGGTATTCACTAAAATAATCACATGAGAAAAAAAGATCAATGAACTGTTTGAAGTTTGAAGGAAGCCACAACTATTTTCTCAAACAAGATTGTACAGTATAAAGAAGCCTCTGAGTGGACCAAAAGGCCTTACAGAAAAAAAAAAAGCCTGAATATGCTATAAACTTAACTAGGTTCAACATTAGATCAGGCTTGGGAACCTCAAGCTTGATTCAGTAAAGGCATGTAAAATGCTTGTCCTATGAAACTATTTTAAAGTTTAGACTTCCATAGTGAGTACCACAGACCACAAATTTAAGATGAAGCAATAAATCTATGGTCCAAAGGAGCATACCTCCATGTGAAAAAATGAAAGTATATGTCAAGGAACATGCCTTCAATTTAAAAGATAAACAATTAAGCTAATTATCATGATTCAGGTCTAAGAATATAAAGATGGATACATAAACATGGAGGAAAATCACTGAAGACAACTAAAAGTATACTAACCTTCAGCTCTTCAGCCATAAGTTTGTTGTTTGTATTTTGAATTCCCCGTTTAACAGCAATTTTCACAACCAAACTTTTTTCCCAAAGTTTCAGAATAGCAGCTGCCAAACCATGATGGTGTCTGTTTCGCCCTTTACCAAAAAAAAAGTTGAGGTAGTAGCATGAGCATGCAAGAGGCAACAAAGAAACAAGATCAACACAAAGCCAATTTTAATTTGGACTAAGCATACCAAGGGCAAAATGAGAAGGAAGAGTCCTTGCTAGCTTTCTCAAATTGGTCATCTCTGAATTATTGAGTCGTGACCGCATACCAGTAGGAAGAAGTCTAAATGGTGTTTTAAAGCCAGGAATATTTTGAGGCAACAAATCAGCATCAACAGGCAAAATTCCAGTTCCCCACCAATCAACAAATCGAGGACCTAACCCATCAAGCAAGCCATTGTACTCTGCTTCCTCCTCTGTCATGTTTTCATCACATTCAAGGTTCATTTCAGATGGTTTTGGCTGTTCAGTTTTTGAGGAAGTAACACAAATATCATCCTCGACCAACTTTGTGGTATTTGGAACATCTGGAATGAATAGTGACTCAGTTTCATGTGATAATCCTGTAGAATTGGATTGAGCATCTAAAGATTGAGATCTAGAAGGACGCTTGTAGTTGCTCCCTCGAAAGACCACCATGACACTTCCAGACCTCCAAATAACCAATCCTCCAGTGCGACGCTGTTCATAATAAGATGATTTGTTTTAGGCCATCTCAGTTCTCAAACAGAGGTACAAATTCAAATGTAGCCTTCATGGATACAGAAATTATTTGTTACACTAACAATTGAGCAAGGTAGATGGATCAAGATGAAATTACTACAGAGGCACTTATTGTTATATTACCACTGGATATCAGCAACAGCTTTCCCCTTTTAATGGCTTATTTTGCATTCAAATGAAGTAATAGCAACAATACATCAGGAATGTAGATTAAGAAGTAACGCCAAGGTATGCTTCAAAACTCATATGAACCACGAAAACCAAATTTTTAAGAAGGGGCTAGGTATATTTGAAATTGATATTCTCAGAACTGAAACTTAGTAAGAGGCCTCCACGCTCTTTAGCACAAGACTTTGAGTCACTATCAAGGCATCTTGCAAGTGTATCGTATTCCATGAATATGATTGATGACAATTTTAGTAATCAAGGTGAATTCTTCTGTGCATCTACCACCATAGCAATATGATTCTTTAATATGGATGTCTGACACTATTTTTAGATTATTATCCAACACATCTGAGCCTAGGAAAATCCAGTATCATTTTAATTTATTCAGTATTTAAGAAAAATTATTATCTCATTCAGTTTTTAGCAACTTGTTACCTTAGTCACAAGAAGCAGTAATTTTTCATCATAGGCAAATATGGAGTTAGTTATAATCCATGTACTAGGGGAGATAATATGTCTAAGAAACGAAATATCTAGTTATATCTTCTTTGAGATCCATTTGCAACTAGATGCATGGCAAGCACTCTGATTGGCACTCAACAAAGCTTGGTACCGAACATCTAAGTTAACTTTAGTTTGTTTTAGTTCCTACTTATTCGATCATTCTTCAAACCAGAGACAGTGAAGAAGTTTCTTGTCGATTATCTCCTTTGTCGAGTCATGAATTGAACGTAGAATAAAAAATTCGTTGAATCCTTTAGATCAAAATGCCACCTCCACTGAACTAAACAGTTAGCCAAATCTAAAACCTATAACTTGGCAGCATACGGCAAACAGCAAGAGGCAAAACTAGATAACTGTAATGATATTGCTAATTGAAGCAGGTCAAAAAACAACTATAATCAGGAAAAAAAAACACATTTTGCCTTCGATTGTGTAAAAGGACAAAATTTAACCAACCTCGACAAGCTCATGTGCTGTCTTCATGTCGTTGGCCAATGTCTCATGAAACTTGAGGCGAACCAACTCCGACTTCCTCCATGCATCATGAATCTTCTCGGTGATGGCCTGTGTGACACCTGCCTTGGGCACCGTGATCCTCTCCCTCAGCATGATCCCCAGACGCCGGAGCCTCCGTAGCTCCGAGTCCTCTATCGTCAGCTCTGCCAATGTCGGCGCCCTCACCCTCTTCCGCTTCGCATCCCTCCCGTCCTTTTCCTTGGCAAACCCTCCGTGGTCTTCCCTCTCCCACGGAAGGAGCATCCGACCCATATCGAGCGACTTATCTGGCCGGTTCCAGCTCCGCTCCAGAAGTTCCCCCAATCTCTCATCCCCGCACAAAGTTGGTTCATTAGTGCTTTCACCCTCATACTCGTCATCATCGGAGTCGAGCCCAAGGTTCCGAAGCCGATATACGATCCTCTCGATGGCGCCGCCTCGACCAGCGTCGGGCTCAGCTGGCTTTCTCTCCGGAGATGGCGGCGATGGCGAGGGATCAGGAGGAGCCCACTGCTGGAGCCAGGGCGCGGATGGGAGCCCGGAGCGGACAGGGGTTCTGGGATTAGCATTGGCCTGCCTGTCGTCGTCATCCCGCGAGTTCCTGCGGTGTCTGGGAGAGCGGCGAGAGTCAGAGTCGCCGCCTCCGCTCTCGGCTAGGCGGAGGGAAGAGGAGGAGGATGCGGCAGCGGAAAAAATGAGGCGGCGGAAGCGGCCGCGGATGAGGGAGAGGGACAGCACGAGGGAGGGGCGAGAGCAGAGGGGGAGAGGGTTGTGAAAGGAGAGCTCCGAGATTTTGGCGGCGGGGAGGAGAGCCATGTCTCTCTGCTTCTTGCTTCTCCTACTTCTTGAGATGCTCACAAGCTGTTCGAGGTTTTGCTCGAAGGAGAACGAGAGGAGACGAGCAGCGACATGAGAGGCGCGACAGGATAAGGATGCGGCTGAAGGAGACGGGGGATATTTTGTGGTAGCGTTTCTGATCTGGTTAAAATAACGTTTACCGTTATATAATTGTAGCGTCGGTACCAAAACCGTTATATTGATCTTGCGGTAATACTAATACCGTTATATTGTTGTGATCCAATTCCAACGACAGGCGGGCGCTTCCTTCCGTCCCCAACACAAACCCTAAGGAGCGGCTATGGCGGTGGAAGGAGATCCGAGAGCCTCGGCAAATAAATCACTCGGGGATGCTGTGGATGATCTGCCCATCTTCAACGTCGACAATCTCCAGAGCAACATTAAGTCGATCTACTATAGGTAACCCTCCCAAAACGCATCATGCCCATGCTTGCTCTCGTGGATCCTTGGGTCCTCCGAAGAACTTGTTTGAGTTTCTTATTCCTTTTCGTCACGTAGAAGTAATCCGTGATGTAAGCTATGGTGTTAAAATTGGATCCCTAATGACCATCAGTGGCAGCCGAATGATCATGAATGTAATGGAAAACCTCTTTACATGATGAGCAGATACTATAGAACCTCCAATTGTTTATGGGTGTGAAGAAAGAAGAATAAGAACCGGCAAAAAAATGTAGTCGAATTAGATGTAAGAGATTTTATTGTGCTGATGTGTGTCATGGTTAATATCTGGTGTTTGAAGGACAATTAGTCTTAAAGTAGATTGATGACCAGATATTCCTGTTGTTTCAAGTGCAAGTTCTACCATAATTATTGTTCTTAGACAAATAGTAGAGTAACTATATAGCATGTTTGTTTCTTTTCTTTTCCATTTCCTTTGACCATATTGTCTATATCAAAACATATGCCATAATCTTACAAACTTTTAGCTTAGACTGATAACACTGCTTAAAAAAGGGCCTTTGACAGAAAGGAACATGACACCTTATAATTAGTCTATCATAGGAGAATCCCACCGATGCAACAAAAGAAGATAAATCTTTTTATTCTATTGCAAGTTCAGATTCAGTTTGCTTCTTGCACATTATTGTTGACCATGTAATAAGATAGTCGATGGACTGAGCCATTTGTACTTCTTACTGCAGTCGTACCTTCTTGTCCATCATTGGTGGAGTGATTGCTGGAATATGGGGATTTACAGGCTTTACAGGCTTCATCTTTTATTTCATAGTGATGGCAGCTGCTTCTCTCAGTCTCGCAGCGAAAGCAAAATTTTCTGTCCATGCATACTTCGACTCTTGGAGCAGGATTTTGGTTGATGGGATTTTTGGTGGCCTCATGGTATGCAATCTAAGAAGTTTATTATTGTGCTCAAGTTTGTTTTAGTGCTTTTGGTTTTGCTATTTTCTTGCCGTTGGAAGTTCTTCCCTATATGAAGAAAGATGTTCAGAGGACTAACATTCAATCCTGGAATAGCGCAGAATCAAAATTTAAAATAAGAACTGAAATTGTTATTGGAACCTACTTGCAACCTAACATAATCTGAAAGGAGTAGCAATCAGTGTTTACCATGAGGTCTTATTCATCCATCAAACATGTTAGTTCTTGTGGTGTCTTGCCTGCCTGCACCACAGGCGTTGACCAAGGGCCTTCTTTTGCCACTTGGAAAGAAAATCTATTTAAAAATGAAACTGTTGCTATATAATTATGGCCTTGGCAACTGGACTTGGTGGTGATGCTGTACCATGAGCATGGGAAGCAAAGGCATTTTCTCTTCCATTAGTTGGAACAGAATGAAGGAAGGATCACAGAGTTGAAGACTAATGGTGAAGTCATAGAGGCAAGGAAGAGATACCCTAGACTTATCATGCTGGACGACATAAAAATATATACCAAGTCTATTTCATGACACTGCTATAAGTTTAAATCCCAAACCGGTGCAACTTTTTTTATAATCCTGGTCATCGTTTTTTTTTTTCCACTCCAATCTATGGAAAAGACCGTGGCAGACTGGGCACCATGAGGTGGTTTCATCTGTTAAATGAGATTCATTTATCATGACTTAGCCAGGCTTGCCGGGTTGCCAGTTTAGACAAAGTCGGGTATTTGCTATATTTTGCTTTCATCCAGGATGAGACATCGTTTATTTAGTTAAGGCTTCTGGTGATGGATATTAAGATTTTTTTGCTTCTAATAATATTTGCAGCATGCTTCATTTTATTCCCAATTTCAATTTGCATGTCATGTTTCCATCTCTGAGACATTTGCTTACAACTATTTTATTATCTTTTCCCTTCACTGTTATGATGTTTCACTAACACTTTCTTTTTAAATGTATTTGCAGTCTTTTGTGCTGTTCTGGACGTATCCTTTTATCTATAAATTCAGTTATATGCTATTACTAGTGCTTTTGAAAATTACCGACCTTTTCTGACAGTTTGGTCTCAACCATTGTTTGTCTTGCTGTTTTAATCTTATTCTATATATTAATAATTCTTAAAACAAATGACAAATATGCTCTATTAGGTCAATGTGGTGGACAGGCTTTGTTATTTTCCTGATTTTAGGATAAACCATCTATGAACAATTAGTGTATCGTCTTTAGAATCAATCTATAATGTTAAGTGGCCTTGAAAACTGAAGATGTTAAGCTGATCTAAAAGGTTAATATCTGGTTTGGAGGAGAACAATTTGTAGGCAATTTTCCTGATAACCCTCCGGAGTAGATACTATCACAACCCTTTGAGTTTGCCATTGTGGAGTTTTTTGTGATGATACAAAAGAATCTGTTAGCCAAAATCTTGTATGCTGTGATTTATATTTTTAAGTCGTTTACGTATATGTTTTGGCTATAAAAGTGAACTATTTATTCGGACTACAAGATGACTTTTATTAGCGAGCATTCTGTTGTTCTGCCAATAAGTCACAAACTAGAAGTTACATACATCATATGCACTGCTTTCCTTGGTCTTGTGAAGTCCAACCTTGACATATCCAGATTTGCGTATGACATCGTTCATATATTTTGAAGAAGACAACATTTTGGTGATTTTGGAAGGTGCCTTGGAGCATTCAAGGATTCTTCTTTTATCTAACCTTCTTCGAGCTACAAAAGGTCAATCGCTTATCTTCACAACTCTCAACCTCTTATGTGGTGGAAACTTTTCTGTTAAACTTTTAAGATGCATACAGTTTTTTTTTCTGGTTAATCTACAACTCGATGCTGCGAAGACTGCAGCAAGTCTTCATAGTGCTTTGGATAATTGATTCTGCTTATTCAAGTGATTTTGTTTCTGCTTTTGGTTCATGCTCTTTTGTGATGGTTTTGTTAGATAATCTTCCGGTGAGAGAGACATTAGCGTCGAACAGTGAATGTTTTATATTAATATATCATGATCTCTCAAACCCACTTGAGAGACATTAGGTGAATGGTTCTGTTGTCCTGAACTGAATCAGAATTGGTTGATTTTTATTTTGATGTATTATTTAGGAAAATCCATAAATATAAAAATTTATCGAACAACGTTCTTTGTGGGTATACAATCTTCTCGAGGTTTGTTCCACAAGAAAATGAGATATAGCAGAAAAAAAAACAAAAAAAATTTGTTTCTGTTTCTTTCTTGTCAGCAATAAGTAGAGAAACAATCCTAAAATAAGAAATAAGCGAGAGAGAGAGAGATTTTTGTTTTCCCTATAAATATTCCAACAAGTAGTTTCTTCTTGGACTGGAATGGCAATATTAATATCCAAATGAATCCTGATTCCCAAATTTCACTCAAAAAAGACATTGCTATGAAGTAAGAGAAAGGAATTCAAAAGATCTATTAAGAATTACTACTTCAATCAATGGGTTGAATCGAAATCTTGCATACAGAAAGACCACATTAGAATTCAGGTTGGTACGTTGGTTATCGGCCCTCTGAACCAGTATCTAGCGCTTAATACCCACCATGAAACAGTGAGGATGAGTAGGCCGCCGACAGCCACCGGAGTATAGTTGAGAGTATCCTTGGTAATGGGATAAGCCACCGGTAAGGAGAACAACACGGTGATGGTTGCAACCCAGAGAACTGCGATCCACCCTACCAATACGCCATAGCGGCCAAGGTTGAAGGGTCCTCGAACAAATGACTTACGTGCCAGAGTCACCCGAAAAAAGATGGGCAATGCGTAGGCAATGTAAAGCCCAATGGTAGCTATCGACACCATCGCTTGGAACGCCACCAAGCTTCCGAGGTACTGCAAGTGACACACATGGTACTCAGATAAAACATCGTATTGATGGTTCGAGTGATCATAGTATGGGAAGAACATGTACAGAAATCATGTATTTAGCCTATTTAAGATTCTGTATTGACTAAAACCAATATTGGTTTGATTTACTTTTCCTGTTGAACTTCCATGACATTACTTGGAAGTAAGTACATTTCCACTTGATTTCTCACGGAAAGGCAAAGTGCAGTCTCTATTATCAAAATCAGACAGCCAAGTTTGTTTTAGTCAACTAAGAAGCAGATAAACACCAAGTGAAGACCAACTTATATTGCAATTTCCATAAGATTTATTTTGACCACATTTGTTGGGATTATCTGACATTTGTTGAGTATTGCAATACTTTTGGGAGAAACAGCTTTTACAGGTTACTACTTGAGGTGATGGAATTAGGAATGGAACCATAATCATAACCAAATAACCATAATCAGAGCATGGCATAATGGATTCTATTAACTTGGTGAATTTTGAATAGATTATAACCAAATGAACAACTAAAATCGAAGAGGGCTTAACAAAGCATACGATCGACTAATTCTTGGAGGAATTAGGAAATCAGACAGAAATGGTTACCGTCAAGGCCATGCAAAATGATACAAATGTGGAGAGCCAAACTGCATTGATTGGGATTTCTTGCTTGTTCACTTTGTGCCAAAATGTGGATAGAGGCATGGCTCCATCTCTCGAAAAGGCATATACCATCCTACGTTTTCAGAAAACAGATTTATTCAGAGATACAGGCATTGGCAAATATATGCAAATGAATTATTCATTTTGAAGAGGTGGGCAAAGTTGATGTCCACTTTTATAACCCAGCAACATTAGTGAGGTGCATGGAACAATGAAAAGTTTACCTGGAGTTGCTCGTCACTGAACTCATGCCACAGAAGAATATAGCAACGGCAACAATTCCTAGACAAATGATTCCACCAGTCCCGCTACCATATCTGCTCTTAAAGGCAAGATAAAATACTTCAGCGATTGCATATCCTCCGGCATCATTGTCACTGCTCAAAAGATTTGGAATGTTGGTAACTGCAAACGTGATGCCAAGTAGGTAGCACCAGCCCACAATGATTGATATGCCGATGGAACTAATTATTCCTCTTGGACCATTCTTATCTGCACTTTTAGTTTCCTCTGTCTGAAACAAGTGTTTAGTACCCACAAGAGAATATTAGTGTTCTGGAAATAATATCTCTAACAGAACAAGACCCAAAAATTAGCAACGAGAACAAAATTTCTGCATCCTCATTCCCTAGAATTTTAAGCCCCATGGACTTGAAATTATTGAAAATAAACTATCATATTCATTTGAGTGAAAATGGACCTTGATGTTGTGAGAGAAGCTGATATGTGAGACAAAGGATGTAATAGAAGAGGGTATATGTAGGTGAATGCAAAAAACTTAAATATAGAATGGGCAGTGATGGAAATTAAAATCTCATGTTGTCTGCTTACAGTGATGAAGCTATATTTGTCAAGTTGAGAACTGATATGCCTTGCCCCCTCCTATCAAGAATCTTATATTTTCAACTGTCCTCCTAAAGAGGTTTGAGGAAGATCAGAGAATAGATTATAAAATAGGAAAACAAGAGGGTGAGAAGGAAGAAAAGGGAGAGGGTTTAAATTATTAAGCCTCGAGAGGGTTACAATGTCTTTATTTATAGACTCTCTCCTTTCCCTCCAATCCTAAGATACTAATCAACTACGATTAGTTTTTGTAATTTAGATAACCTTATTTATAATCTAATAGAAAATATATGTACCCTTCTACTAGGATTAGGAGAGGATCTCCTACTAAGACCAGGAAAAGGGTCTCCTTCCACTAGGGTTAGGAGAAGCACCTTTGAAAGATCCACTGGATTGAGAATGGAGATTTTAGGTTTTCATTATGCTTCATGCATGTAAAATTTCAAATAAACTCACTATATATATATATATATATATATATATATATATATCAAAGAGATCCTTACCATATGGGCAGATGCATCATAACCTGTAAGTGTGTATTGGCTCATTAAGAGTCCCAAGACAAATATATAAAGCTTGTTGTGGATTCCATCAGTGTTTTCAGTGTTAAAATGAGTAAAGACAAATTTGGCGCTGGCACGCTCAGTAGCAACTGCAGGTATGGCGATCATAAGCACAAAGACACCTAAGCATCAATTGAAATAATAAGTGGAAATCCCCTAAATATCTATGCGAAAGAAAAGAAGAAAGAAGAAACGAAGTGAGAGCGCTCACCCAGTATATTCCATGCTGCAGCAATTTGTCCAAATAAAGATAACAATGTGATAGGAAGGCTGTTCAGAATGGCATGAATTAGGAGAATGCCTCCGTGAAAACCAATAACCATATATTTAGAAGCAAGATATCCTCCTCCATTGTTTCCACCAGTGCTGAGTAGAATCATCACTTGGAGAAGTTGCGCCAGTGAGAAATCTACACTAGTTGTGACAGCCCACTGCAAAATAGAATTTCTTTCTTAGCCCAGAAGAACATAATTTACAGTTCATCACCATCCACTTGATAGCAAAGTCTTCATAGCTCGAAACAGATGCCACAATTACCTGCCCAACAATGTTAAACCTGCAAACAATTAAAAAAGGATATTGTCAAGCTTATTGAGAGCTGCCAGCTTCTATACCATAGCCATAATTATGAAGGACAACAGTAAAAGTTATCCAAAATAACTTGCAAAAGAAAAAAGTATTTATATTTTCATGAAGGTATATGAATGACCAGCTTTCCATGCATCAGTTCTGAACATTGAGTATGTTTAAGCTCCACAGACAGTCTTCATTGTGCCTGTTCTGACGACTTTCATTTAAGTTGGCATAACTTTTGCATTACCATCAGACATTATGGATCTGTTCCAAGAGAACAATAATTTCGTTTCTTTACAATCCGCATTAGCAACTTCATCAAGCCAAAAATTAAGCATGCAAAATAACAAGAAAACAAATTTCATCAGTTAAAGTTCTCCCTTAAGATATTGGTTTATCATATGTTCCAAACAAACACTCATTCTTCCGCTAAGCATTCGACTTCAAGAAGATAGTCAAATTTATCATGTAAATCTGTCAGTGACTCGAATGAATTTTTGTAACTGATATTGTACTAGTATATCGACTTGTTATATTACCTGCTAATTTCAATTATAAACATGAAAGCTGGTGTTCTGGGTTCCTTTCCATTCTGTCAAAGGATCTTAAATGAAAAGTAAGTTGCTGAGAGTAGTCATTTTATACAGTATCAGAGTTTGCTCTGTTTTTTTTTTTTTTTTCTAGCATGCATGCAAAAAAACTTTTCTACTGTGAATGCATCAGATCTTGATCATGGAAGATGGATCAGGGGGCATAGACTTTCTGAACTACAGTCACTCAATTTATCAAAAGTTCAACTACAAGACTTCAACTTGAGGTTTGATAACTATTGTTGTCTTTATATCTTTCCTTTCTGTGGGTAACTAAAAGAAGATTGTTATGATGTAAGAGTAAGACCATCGACAACAAGAATGTTGCTACTTCACTATCTTGTTCACTCCCTACATCCTAAAGAACAGATCCAATTTCGAGCTTCTACAGATGTGAATGCTTCTTATCAACAATAGAAGTAGCAGATAGACTTGGCGATATGAAGCAATTGCAAGTGGCAGCATCAAACCAAAGGATGAGGAACTAATCGCATAACTTGCTAATCACATGTAGAGTTTCAAGAGCATTGCAGAACGGGCAGTACCAGCCGGTCATCCAGGAAGCAAAGGGGGCCCAGTCGTGGCCGGAGAGCCTGGCGCTCCAGTAGTAGAGGCCGCCAGACGTGGGGTACGACGAGCAAATCTCGGCCATGGAGAGTCCGACGAACATGGTGAAGACCCCAGCAAGAAACCAACCGAAGGTCATGGTGACGGTGCCGCCGAACCGGAGGCCGGTGTTGTACAGCGTGGTGATGCCGGTGAGAACCGATATGATGGAGAAGGAGAAGGCAAAGTTCGACAAAACCCTAACATTTCCGCCGGCAGAAAAACGTCAGTGAGTCCCGCACGACCAAAACCAATGAATCAAGATAGAGAGACAGAGAGAACTATGGTCGGGTCGGTTACGAGAGGTCGCGCTTGAGCTCCTGCTTGTAACCGAGCTCGCTGAGCCGCGCATGCCCGGAATCCACAGCATCGGCCGGATCGTCGATGCCAACCCCGGTGGATCCGCCGTTGGCGGCCTCGTCCCTCTCCCACACCATCTCTCGCTCTCGACAACAACAACACTAATCCATCCGCAGGCCAACTTTATAGCCAAGGACCACGCGATCAGCGACGATCACTGCAATCTCACCGCGCACACGCTCGGAAACGAATCACCGCCATCAGAAGAAGCAGAGGAGGAGATGGGGAATCCATCAGCGAAGGGATCTCGAAGACGAGTATGGCACTCTTTTACTCTGCTTCGGAGGGGTGGATTGGGAATCCGACGAGCCATGTGGATAAACCGGGAATGTTATTTATGACGATATTAAATGGTTTGTCGTCATGGGAATCGTCGGTCGATCGGGGCCGTCCACGTGTCGTCCGCTTTGTTTAGGTGAGGCGTGTTGGGTCTTTTTAGCAACAATATAAGCTTTCTCTATATAGTTTCATGTGGTGTGGGTTGTACTACTTAATGATGATATGCTCTATTAATTAGGAGCCATAAATATAATCGAACCGATCATGTTTGATTAACAATATTTTAAAGTATATTTAATATTATTATTTTTAAATAATAATAATAATAATAATAAATATGAGAATATCAACCGACATTTTATACATAATGGTTTATCTAAATTTAATAACACATGAAGAAATCTTGATAGTAATCACACTAATCCAATCCATATTCAATCGTTTAATATTATAGAATAAATAGTTTTTTCCAATATAATTGTCAAAAATAATATATACACAAAAATAATAATAAATAGTCAATTTCGTATTATAATCTGAAATTTTTAACTTATTTTTGTTTATTGTAATATTTGTTTCATTCACCTTACGTTTATTTTAGTTCTCAAATCCATATCTTCTTGTATAGATTTAAGAGAGCTAGCTCTAACTTGATTTCCCTCGTCTTCTTGACTAATGGTAATTTATTTCTCACATCAATCATAATTTCATAATTGAAGATACCAGCTAGATTAATCGATGAAAACTTTGAAAGTTTATCATAATTGACGTAAGTTATTCAAAAACCAATCGATCGATTAGCTCATTTTAATTTTTCACCATAAGTTAATAATATATTTAGATCCATTAATAAATTTGATAGAAAGAATACATGACCTCAGCATAGCGTCCAAGTTGAAAATAAAAAGAGATAGAGGTTATCCCCCACTAGTTTGCTTATATTGACAAGGATGCAAGAAAGACAATTATATATTGTTTCTCTCTGTTGCCCATGTGAAGAAAAGATTAAGTAGATATTGTTAGAGACAGTCGAGACTTACCTCCTCATAGAATATTCTACCACTTTACGATGAAATATAAAATTTTATTTTTAACATAGTTACTAATTTAGACATCAGATGAATCGAATAAAGAAAAAAAAATACCTCCCAACATTGATATTCATATAGGTGACACGAAAGAAGCTCGTTGTTTCTACCTCGAAGACACATTAAATAATCTCATGCACATGGGTCCGAGCAACATCTAATTTGATTGATTTTTTCAATCCGATAATCTAATTTGGTTTCGTTGATAGGTCCATAACTTGAAAAGTGGAGTTGGTCCACCCATCAGTATGGGTATGGGCGTGAGATTAAACCCCATGACAAGACTCATAACATCTCTCTCGATTAGTGTCAAGGAGAAAGAGAACAGAAGAGGTGTTAGCGAGGAGGTGTCGAACACCACCACGACTTAAAATACGTAGCGTCAACCTCTCGACAGCTCCGCTTCACCCGCTCCATGGCATCTTAGACCATGACTCCATACCCAACCCAACCTAACACATGCGGATTCGTCAATGGAACCATATAAATGTAACGTTTGAAGCTTCTAAACCATTACCATATTTCACAGTTACTGTTGTCGGTGTACTACTCTTAGCCTACCACTTTCTCGACTATTTGGACTCCTGTCGTTGAGAATGCCATATACTAAGCAAAACACCTACATTTATACGCGTAAAGAAACACGAATTATTATTGCTTTCCATATGGGCGAAAAAAGCTGAGTCTCACCATATGGCACGGAAATGAAAACGACAGAATTAACACATACAGCATGTAATTACGCAAGAAGAATCGAGAGGAACACCGTCAGCAAGGGGGCAAAGATTGCACCGCTGCGAGCGGCAGCGGAAGCAGACGACGGGGGCAGCGATGGGCCCCTGCGGTAGAAAGGGAACCAAGGAACGATGGGGTTCGGCGGCGGAGGTGCAGGCAGCGCGTAGTCCGGCGGAGAATAGTAAGGCAGGTAGCCTCCTGATGGCGGCGGATAGTATCCGTCATAGGACGGTGTCCCGGGCGGCGGAGGGTAGCCGCCCCATGTCGGCTCCGAGGGTGACGGCGGAGGGTAATTCGTCCCCAATGTTGGCGGCGGCAGGCACGGGTAAGGGCATTCCGGGGGAGAATAGTCGGAGCGACTCGACCGAGGAAGAACGAAGAGTAATAGGAAAAAGAGAAACGCAGAGGAGTGCTTTGAATTCATGGTCGGGTTTCGGGAAAGGGAGGAGGAAAGGATGAAGAAAGAAACCGGAGGAGGAAGGAAAGGTAGAGGAGAAAGAGGGAGAGAGACATGCAATAATTGAAGTGGTGCAAATGGTAGGAGTTGGTGGAGAGCGTGACGACAGGGACGGGGACGGGGACGTAGCTACTACAATAGCATGGCTGGATTCACACGTTCGCACCATCTCCACACGGTCGCATCATGGCTGTGGGCAACGCAAGAAAGAACCGGTCCTCTCTCTCGCGGGAATAAGCGTATACACGTGTGCTTCTGCATGCCCATCGATGAACGGCCTGCGCTATACGTGTCTCCAATTCCGCTGCACATGCTAGTATATAAGCCTCATGTGTCTCTCGCTTGTTCCACTTGATCTCGAACAGGCCGAATGGCGGAGCGGCAAGCTGGCCCAGGCGTAGCGCCGTCGACACGGCCACAATGGGCGACCGGCCCCCCCGGCAGGACCAGCCTCGTCCGCCGGCTTCAGGAGCAGGCACCCAACTCCACGCAAGTCATCGGCTTCCTCACCTTCGTCGTCTCCGGCGCCATTCTCCTGCTGCTCACCGGCCTCACCCTCACCGGCGCCGTGATGGCCCTCATCTTCTTCGGCCCCATCATCCTCCTGTCGAGCCCGATATGGGTGCCGGCCGTCTTCGTAATGTTCGTGGCCACCGTGGTGGTCCTCTCCGCGTGCGGCTTGGGCGTGGCGGTCCTGGCGGGCTCCTCGTGGCTGTACAGGTACTTCATGGGGCGCCACCCGATGGGGTCGGACCGGGTAGACTACGCCCGCAGCAGGATCGCCGACACCGCCACCCACGTCAAGGACTACGCCAGAGAGTACAGCGGGTACCTGAAGAGCCGGGTCAAAGATGCGGCGCCGGGAGCTTAATCGACGGCATTCGAATGTTAGTGTTACGCCATGTTGCTTTGATGTTCGTGTTATGCCAGGTTCTGTTACTGCAGCGTTTCTTCTTTTGATTCCTCATCCACCGGGGAAGAAACATTTGGAGGACGGAGAATAAGCAGTCCGCCTTAGGAGTCTTAACCCAGCAAAACATCTGCAGCTGGTAAACCTGCACATTTTACTTCTACATGAAAATGTGACTACATCTGAAAGAATTAAGCGTGCACTTCTACAAAAGATTTGACACAGAATTCAGGATCATCTTAGCAACTTTGAAATTTAATATGGGAACCAGACTGTAAAGTGTTGGTACATACATATAGCACTAGAAGCAAAACAAGCTCAGGGAAAGGTATAATTTGCAGATCAAGTACCATAAACCAAGCTTCAACTGTGTCTTGTTTTATATGAAAGTTGACCTGAACAACAAAAGACTACAACCCCATTCCCCAAACCATTAGGCCAAAATTATTGGTGCCCAGTGTCCTTTGGTCTCTGATGATTGTCTCTGAAAGAAATATCCATACATCTGATACAGTAGTGTAGTTGAAATGAAACCCTAGTCAATGATCACATAAAGAATCCCTGCTGCAATTTGGAAAATTTTGTGAGCACACCTAAGCAATGATGACAGCAGTGTAGTTGAAGTGTAGTTGAAATGAAAATTTTGTGATCACACACACACACACACACATATATATACTGTACAGGTACCAAAAACATCTTCCAAAAGTACCAATAACTACTTTGTCCTGTGGTCTACTGGTATAAATGCTAGAAACTTAATAGAGTAATACATATGCAAAGATACTAGGATTATCATTGAATACAATACATAAATGTTATAATATGTAACAAGACAACTACATAAAAGTGCTACCCAGTAATATAAATAACAAGACTGCTTCGCTTGCATGTAATTGACAAGTTTTGAGGTAGATCAAACTCCATTATGGTTGTCGAAATCCGAAATCGAAATCATTAAATTGCTCCTGTATAACACTAGCTCAAAAATTTAAGTCATCTATTGCATCACTTTGCAATAGTAAAAAGCAACTTGTAAGCCATACTTTTTCCACACAATTGCTTCTGATTTATGATAATACATGTCTCACAATCCAAAATCGTGGTGTGTCAATTCCAGCCGCTCAATGAAAATATTTCATCTATCTGTTGGACTTCATACTGTAATTCTGTGAGAAGTCAATTCAGTGAAATTGTCGACTGCTTATAATTCTTGTATGTCAATCTTTTAGTCATTGAGGCATTTCATTCCCTTTCAATGAATGTCTCTACCTCGCTTATATCTTCCAATAATCATAGAAATCAAGCACTATCATGTTTCAACAATCGCAATAATCAAGAACTATCATGTTTCAACAATCTCAATGATTAGGTGCTCTTTCATATGGAACAAAGAAACAATGTAACAACTGATACAACAAAATGACTTGCAAAGTAAAAGAAAAAGTAATGACTTACTAATAATAAGTCGGGCTAATGATCATGACCCATGTGGTACTGCTTGCTCCAAGTCATAGTAGTTTGTTTGTCATGATAAAATAAAAATCTATGAACACTATCGTCTAAAAATCTATGAACACTGTGTATACTCCATAATCTGATTTAAGAACAAGAGCTAATTATAGATTATCTTCTATAATTAGTTATCTTTAACATCGATCTCTATACTTTTAAAAATTATATTGGGATCCCTATACTTATAAAGGTAAAACAATAAGATCCCTATACAGGATTAAAAAGATAATTTCATAGGATTAAGAGAGAAGGGTTTTGTTGGAACAACGAGATCAAATGTTTCACTTTCGTAAATATAAAGATCTTAATGTAATTTTTAAAAATATAAGGATCAAAATACTAAAGATAGTTAATTAG